ATTGGAGTAGTTCTTCATTTAAAAAATTAAGTATGTCAGGAAGTCTGCGGCATCGCAAACCAAGATAAGTGGTTGTAGACTTACTCTGTTGAAATGTATTAAATTAAGACCTGTCAGGAAATTCCATCAGGTCAGGGAAATCTGGAAAAAGTCAGGGAATTTAATGGTAGAAATCAGGAATTGGTAAAATCTTGAATGTTGAAATCTGAAAAATATCACTGGTGTCCACACAATCAAAAAGAAGCTCATCAGTTTAGTTAGGAGCTTGATGCCCAGAGTTACGTTTTCGTCATTTGTAGTGAAATTAACCAATGCCAAAAATTTTTCATTTTCAGTTCCATGTGTGAAAAAAGTCGACATGGAGAGTCAGTAAATTTTAGTCAGGGAAATTTTTCCTGCTGAGGCTGTAGACACCCTGTACAGCTCACAGGAATTTTCTTGGATTTTTTTTGAACAAAAACAACCCACAAAAATCGAGTTCAAAGTTGCGTAGTTTGAGCTTCCATTCGGATGGAAATTGCTGAGAAAACTAAGATAAAACAGAAAAATATCTGTCCTGTTGCAGATACATTTATGAGTGACCCATTATGACTTCTCCGCCGAGATTCATGGTCTGAACAGCATTGTTGCCAGATAGTGTTGAAATTTTAGTGCATTTATACATTTAACTAAATGTCAAACGTCCATATCTTTTCTCACAATCTAGCAACCTTGCTGAGCAGGCATTCCAATACACAACTGCATGCAGTGGAAACAATAAAAGAATCAGGATTTGCCCAAATAAAAGACAAATCTTGTCTAAAAGATTAATCGATCTGGAGTGAATACACCTAAAATCTTTAATTATCTAAAGCATCCATCTGTTTCCTGAGCTAGGTTTTCTGAGTGTTGTTAATTTCTTGTTTCAGAACCTCAAATGGATGGTGAATCAAATCCGCAGGTTGCAGGTGCTGAACTCTCAGATATTCGCAACGTTAAACAAGTACCTGAAATCAAACGAACACGATAGTGCCTCAGTCAAACATGTCCGCTGCTTCCTGCCACTGTTTTACCCCTCCCTTGCAGCGCTTGCACACTACTATCGACCGGAGAACCTGCAGTCACAAATCGTGCATAGCCTCTAAAGTCCCATGCCGAAAGGAATTTGTGATTTATCAGATTAATGTAAACAGTAAAGTTTTGTCAATAATAATCTCGTATGCAGAGCTGAACTCCTCTTTGGTGACTATATATGCTCCTGCTATAAAAATTAACATGCTGCAAAATGGAAGTACCTATCTTACCTACCTACACAACAACATTTCGACAGCATAAGTCCGCAATCACATATCTTGTTTGCGGTGTCTGAAAATCTCCGCCTCTATATTATTTTCTTACAGGAGAACAAATTGACAACATTCCTTGAAGTTTTTGCAGAATTTTCTTCGCACAAAGAAGAAAAATCACTGCAGTTTTAAAGAATTGCTGTTAAGTAGTTTTCAAATTAAAACATTAAGTATGACAGGAAGTCTGCAATGTCGCAAACTGAGTTATGTGATTGCCGACTTACACGGTCGATTTGCACAATAAGCGCTTGATCTCAGTTAAAATTTTAAGTGTTTACGCAGCTTTGCTTGCATTCTTCAACATTCTCTCCATAATGTGGATAACAAAGCATGGAAATAATGCGATGGATCATTGTTGTGGTTGTTCGTGCTGCCAAATTTTAGTTTAAATTTGATTCCTTTCTTATCTGATGCCGCAATCACACGCTGAATGTGAGAGCTGAATGTGGTTTGAATGTAGAAGTCATCAGTCTGATGCCTGAATTTTGCACGTGTTGCGCTAAATTCAGCAAAGATTCTCAGCGACCAGTGGATAATGTTGGATTTGTCCGTACAACTTAAATAGATTCGATACACATTTGGATGAAAATAACTCGAATTTGCAAAATTTCAGCTGTTGAGCGATGACTGTTGACTTCCATATTCAGCTGCCAAATTCAGTGTGTGATTCCGGCTTAACTCAATTTACTTACACTGATGTGCCTGCCTCACATGATGAATTTAGCAGCTAAATATGGGAGTCAACAGTTGACATTTTGTAAATTTGAGTTTTCTTAACAAAGTTTTACATCAAATTTAGTCAAATATTTCAGACAAACTCATTACTGCTGAGCTTGGATGTTCATTGGTACCCTTAATTTTGAGGCTTAAATGCAAAATTCAGGCATCCATGACTTCCACATTCAGGAAATTAGGCAGGCGTTATATACAGAGGGATATTTTGAGAGATCACTGCGGTACCAGACCGAATGTTTCATCGTTGAAAATTTCAAAAGAAATTGTGCATGCCCTCACTAATTTTGAAAATGAGGTCTTTCCCAGCAGATCAATTATTGCTATCTTGTGAATTAAATGGAATTGAAGACATAGTTTGTGCATCAAAAGATAGAACTTTTGCTGTAGCATATTATGACTTATTCTCTTTTTCCTAGTTTGCACCTTTGAATGGTTAAAGTCACACACGACTTTCAGGATAAATTTGAATGGTCCTTGTCAGATTTATGAGTTGTTTCCTTGTTGGACTTTGACTTTTTGAACAGGAGTGTATCCTGTAATTTTGTTTCTTGCAGTTTAGAAAATAAAGTAAAAGTCTGAGGAATGAAAAAAGATTTTTTACTTACACAGTAACGAAACGCAGTCCTGCAGTCCACAGCTAGAGCATTGGGATCAGAGTAGAAAAACATCACTTTCTCGCACTAAAACTGAGAAACAGAGGACCAGAATTGAACACATTTTAACTGTGAACTTGCACTAAAGAACTGACGTTCAAGATTAGAACTAATACTCTGCATCAATGACATTTCTCCCTTGCATTTCACACTTATTGATCACAAAAAAACTGTTACAACTCCATAATACAGGTCCCAGTTTATTCCGAATCTAAGAATAAAACCGAGCTGAATTATGTATGATATAGTGCGTATGATAGTATGATAGTATGTTATGTATGATAGTATCACGCTCGACATTCTAGTTAGAACATTTTAGACATAAAATGTTACTATAATTAAATAAAACATAAATAAATCAAGGAAATTTAACCAACGACGTTTACGGCAAAAGACCGTTGTTATTGACTAACTCGCCCTAACTTCCACCTCCAATATTTTTTCTCATCGCTGGATGGTATTTCATCCTTCGGTAAAATTATTTTCTGCCGAGATATTATTTTCACCATCTAAAATTCATCTCTCTATCGCTAAATTTTTTCTCTATCTACTGACTGTTTCTCTCTATCTGCTATTTTTTCCTCTCCCTGCCCTCTCCTCTCACCCTCTCTCTCCAGCTCAAGTAGCACAGATTGAAATAAGTAGCAATTACATTGTAAAAATATTGCAATTCCACTGAATGTTGTGTATGTTGCCTAGCTCTCCTATTTGAAGGAGCCCCATTTATTGAAACTTATCACTATCAAATTGAAATAAGTTGGGATTTTTCATTGCATTGCATATTGCCTATCTTTCTGACACACAAAGCTCATTTTGTTCATTGTTTAAAATCGGCATAAATCGACTAAAGGATGTAAAATATTGCAATTAAATGGTAAAAAAATTACAATTTTATTGAAATCAAATTGCAATTTAAGTTCAACATTTTCATTGCACTGTGCTACTTGGGAGTCTTTCTTTCTCTCCGGAAAAAATTCCCCCCCAAGTTACAGTTATACTAGTCCTGTTACTAAAACGCCGTGTATCTAACTTTTCACTAAATGCGCCGTGATATTTAGGCACAAAGTCAATAATCAATGAGAACGAAAACACACCAACTCGGAAAAATGAAACTAATCAAGACACACAGAAAACTGCACGGAGGTGAAGCAGTTCGTTCAAGGAAAATATTTTTGCTGCTAAGAGACAAGTACTTATGGACACTTTAAAGGTCCAAGCTGGAATAGATGCGCTAACTTCAATGACCTTTATGTAAGTTATCTGTCTTTAATGGAAATTGAGCATTTTCGAGTTACCGAGTTGGTGCGTTTTCGTTCTCTATGATTCAATCTGGCCCCCAAAAATCTAGCTTGATTCGCAACATGGCCCCTGAAACTCAAAGGTGAGTTTCGAACACTGATTCCAGGTCTGACGGAGGATGTTCAAAAATGCGCTGCCCTGCTCATCTTCTTAAGGCCCTATCATGTTAGCGAGAGATCCACCCTCAAATTTCCTTATATTGGCGAGATACCACGAGGAAAAAGGGGAAACCCCGATAGAAAACTGCTCATTTAGAAATTTAAATCGCATTTATAACTCCAGATCTCTTGGCTCATTTAATGTATTGCCGAGTCGCCCTTTTGGAGCACTCTGGGCCCTTTTTGGAAATAGGTCCGGAAAAAAGAACAATTAATTCTCGTTTCACATATCTTTAGAGGGTTTCATGCCAATTTCCATGAAGTTTGGTGCATTGAATTTTTTTTAAATCGCATTTATAACGCCGGATCTCTCTTCTCATGATACGAATCGTTGAGTCGCCCTTTAGAGGTCGGTGGGCCCTTTTTGGAAATAGGTCTGGGGAAAAAGGCCCATAATTTCCCGTTTCGCGCCAATTTTCATGAAGTTTGGTGTGTTGAATTTTTTTTAAATCGCATTTATAACTCTGGATCTCCTAGCTCATTTAATGTATTGCCGAGTCGCCCTTTAGGTTGCTGGGCCCTCTTTGGAAATAGGTCCGGGAAAAAGGACTAGCAAATCGCGTTTTACATATATTGAGAGCGTTCCTTGCCAATTTTCATGAAGTTGAATGCGTTGAATGTTTTTTAAATCGCATTTATAACTCCGGATCTCTCGGCTCATTTAATGTATCGGCGAGTCGCCCTTTTGGAGCTCGCTGGGCCCTTTATGGAAACAGGTTCGGGATAAAAGGGCCAGAATTCACATATTTTGAGAATGTTTCACGCCAATTTTCGTGAAGTTAGGTGTGTTGAATTGTTTTTAAATCTCATTTATAACTCCAGACCTCTCTCATGATAGGAATCGTTGAGTCGCCCTTAAGAGGTCGATGGGCCCTCTTTGGAAATTTGTATGTATAGAACCGGGAAAAAGGACCACAGTTACCTACTCGTTCCGCATATTGTAAGAGGGCCTTCTACCAATTTTTATGAAGTTTGATGTGTTGATTTTTTTTTTAATTATTCCCATTAATTAGCAGGATCTCTCTCCCCATTATATGTATAAATAGTATGGCTTTTTCGGGGAGCCTTCGGTCCTTTTTGAATATAGGTATAAAATATTAAATGTTTAAAAATGAAAAATTTAAATCAAACAGAATACGCGCTTGCTAGAGTAAATGAAGAAAATAATGTAGAAAGTACTGTTCCCCCCTCCCTCCCCTTTCCCAATCCCCAACTTCCTCCCCCATCCATGGAGGAACACTCGTGACGATTAGTAGGCGATATGGCAACACCGCATGACGGGCTGCGCGGTAAACAAATAACTTAACCTCAAACTGACGGTGATGGTGTCATTGCGCTAGCCGATTCATTAATTTTACATAATTTTTTCTATATTTTGGATCAAAACTCTGTCAAGCCTTAAATTCAATCTTAGTTTTTTACTTTTTTGCGCGTACTTGTTTGTCTCACTATGCAGAACAGTTGTCATTGGAAGGTTGGCTCATTTTGTGTTGAATAGTTACGACAATGCTTATTTTTGCATTGGGATTTCTAGTACATGTCATCTTTTTACTGTCTATATTTGATGCCTATTTTAAATCTCCTCTTCTCAATGACTTGCCTGTCATTGAGAACTCGATTGGCGCTCCAGCTAAACGTATCGTCCTGATCAGCTCTGATGGCCTCAGAGCCTCTTCTGCCTTTGGACATGATGTAAACTCAACTCCGAACGCACCATATTTAAGGTGAGAGCATGTTGCTTGGTAGTTTCTTATCATAATTTGCTGAACCAACTATCTACCTCTGATGTCTGTCTGAATTGTCAAGCTTTAGTTGCCTAGGATCTTGAATTCAGATCAAACTTTCCCCATCCCGAGTTCATTGGTGGATTATTTTGTGAACATGAAAAAAAATTGCTGGTCATTCTAATGGATTCTCGTTCACTAATATTGTCATTGTCCCAGATCAGCTGTTGCCAGATCTACGAACTCCCTGAGGAAACGAAAAACCTGATAGAGCTCCTGTCAACTTAGAAAAATGACGATAATTGAATTTTCCTCTCGATTTACTTGAATAGAAAAATAACTAAATATTCCTTTAAAATTAGATAGAGTTCTTAAAAATCTGCACACTGCTTGAAGTAACCCTTAGGACCGATAGTGGCATTGGTTTGAACAAGTCAATGCAGAAACCCTCATAATTATTCATTTTGATTTGATCATGGTGGATTTAAGTAAATTTCTCCTCCATCTTCAATTTTCATAAGGAAAAACCTCTTCACAAAGATACCTTGTAAAGTAAAAACTAATTGAGAACATTTGTGTTGGTTAAAAATAATGATGAGGCATCTATTAATACTTGTATGGAGATTGTGACTGGGATTCTTCCTCATAGCTTATCAAGATACCAAGGTTTTTTAGTTCTACCATTGAAGTCCCCTACCTGTACGCAGTTGTAATTTGGTTGATTAAGCATGATGGTCTTAAGTAAATTATTATTTTATTCCTAATTGTAACTCTTTTTTTTTAAATTTTTAATTGGGAATCTAAATTAAGTAACCTGAGACTTCGAATAGCTAGCTCTCAAATTTGATTTTTTTAGTTTCAATTTCAAATCATCAAAATTCCGATTCAGTTTGACATTTTTGGGCCGACGTGTTTTCAAAAGATGTATGAAAACACCCTGGAAACTGTGTACGTGTTTTTAAAACATTGTCTCAATTTGGGATTTTTCAGATTTAAGATTCGTATCTTGTTGCGTCGACGGCCACTTTTTTTCGGCCATGTTTCCAAAACAAAAGAAAGCATCTCATCCTCTAAATTGCAAAACCTTTGCTTAGACATTTCATTTTTTCATACGAAAATAACGCCTCAATTTTTGTCCAGAAACTCTCTGCTTTTTGACGGTAATTCTTTACATGAATTGGTGAAATTTTCAACAAAATTTTGAAATATTCATTGTCAAAAGAAAATTAACAGCATGTCATTGTTTGAAAATACTGAAAAATTTTTTAGGGATTGAATTGTTATCTTTATTTTTTGATCATCAGATCGGTCATCCAGACGGAAGCATCTTGGGGAGTATGTCATACCAGGGTGCCGACAGAGTCCCGTCCCGGACACATTGCCATGATAGCTGGGTTTTACGAGGATCCATCCGCAATCTTCAAGGTATTCATAATTCAATGTTCCCTTGTTAATGGAGTTCACAAACTGTTTCTTCGTGTATTTTTTAACTTATGCAGTCATTTCAGTAGGTATCAGGAGTGATACAACCTAAGGAGATGGACCGCTCTTTTTATCTCACAGAATCAAGTTTTTAACTAAACTGTAGCAAAGAAATGTGAATTTTTAAGTGCCCCAAATCTTGAATAAAGACTGGTTGAAAATTAATAGAATAAAGTAAAATGAAGGAAGTTGTTCTGATCAATCAAAAAGTTCTACAGGACTCACTTGATCAGTAACAATCAGTATTATAGATAATCATTGTTCACGATGTACAAGTATCTGCCAATAGATAGTCATGCACACACAGTCGGAAGGGAAGAAGGAAAAATCACAGGGAGGAATAAAAATCATGGTGAGATGCAAGAGATCAAACTTGATATCTGTCTATCAGTGTGCAGTGCTCTTAACGGGAAGACTGCCGTAACACCAAATCAAGAAGTGGGTCAATTAGCAACCTCAGCAAGTGGCCCTTTTCCCCAGTTTTTTGGCAATTTTCTTTGGAACTTCTAGGTCCCATTCAGAAAAGCAGTGAAACAGAGGTCCGGTAATTCTATATATGAAGAGACTTTTGATCACAGTCCGATCAAAATATTAATGGGGAACCCCCCCCCCCCCCCCCTTAACAATAAAATATGTAGATCTTCTTGTATGTATGACAATGATTGATGAATGCATTAACTAAATTCAAGTTGATTTCGCTGTTTCCAGGGATGGACGGACAATATATTTGAATTTGACTCCCTCTTTAATCGGAGTGCCCTGACTCTAGGTTGGGGTAGTCCAGATATTGTACCAATGTTTAACAAAGGTTGGTATGCACCTTTCAGCAATTTTCATGTCTTTAATTTCCTTGTCTACACTTGATTGGGTTGAATAGTTTTATTCATCTCGGGCAGGTTTTAGAATTGGACAGGGTTAAACAGAAAGGAACCAAGCCACATCAGCTATTGCCAAATTCAACCGCTCAAATTATTTTTATACATGAAAACGGTTGTGTGGATTTTTGTGCAAATTTCAGTGAATTTTCTCCGTAGTATGAAACAAATTCTTCAAAATTTTCCAAGGAGTCTGCACAAATGTTCTCTCGTAAAAAATTAGAATGCCCAGTTAAATTTGGCAATAGCTGATGTGGCTTGGTTCCTTTCTGTTAAAAGAGGTCCAAGTGCTGCTAATTGCGTCAGCTAAGTTTGCAGTTTTTTACTTTCCTTTTGCCAGTAACTGTTTTGCTGTCATAAACAACTGTCAACTTATCTGAAGCAAGTTTTAAGCAAGGAAGGAAAAATAATAAAACAATTTTACTCTTATCTTGACCACATAGTGGAGAATCTACAGTAGGGTGTCCCAAAAAAAAGTCGACCTTCGAAAAGTTACGTTTTCTAGTTGAAAAAGTGTTCCATTTGGTTAGAGAACACTGTTGGCCAAGTTTCAGATTTTTAAGTAAAGTTTTAGTGCTGCCGCATCGCACATTTGTGGAATTAGCGTTACCAATAATTAAGATTTTTGACAATTTGATGATTTTTTTAGGGGCGATACAGTCACACTAGAGCCCTGAAAATTTTAAATAATAGACGCCTAATACACTTCTTTGAATATAAATTAACCATGTTGCCATACCAGAGGCGCAAGTATTTTTTAAAAATTCGGAAACTTGGCCGAAAACGCTGTTTAGGTGCAAATGGGAGACATTTCAGCAAGTTGACTGATTTTATAAAGTTTGAAGGAATATTGCTATCGTCTTAAAAACTGAAGGCAGTTGACTTCTTATAGACTACTTTTGATATAAAATACACATTTGAGCATGCAGGACACGGAAATTTTTTTTAAAAATTCTGAAACTTGGCCAAAAACGCTGTATTAAAGCAAAGATACATTTCGGCGAAAATTGATTATTTTTTGAAATTTCGAAGAAATACTGCTGGCGTCGAATGGGTCGAAGGTAGTCGACTTCTAACAGCATAGTTTTGAGAAAAAGTAATAGTTATAGTCCCAGAGGCAGAAATTTGGCAAATCTCTGAACTCACTTAAGAACGTAATATCAGGCTTAAATATTCTTACTTAGAATATTCTTCTTGCTATCTGTAAAGGATGGGGAAAAAAGTCTGCTGAAAACGTAATATTCAACATGAATAACAAGGAGAGGATAGAATTTCGTTGATCGAGTATAGAAGAGAAAAACAAGGAGGATTAAAACAGGGAAAGTGCAAATATGAAGTTGTGTTCACTTAGCGTGCCCCTTGTCTGATCTTTGGCAAAGTCACTTTAGTATCTTTTCATCTTGCTGCCCTTTTCACCCCTCTCTTAATATGCATTCGCTGTGCTGGTTGCATTGCCAAGGTCCGAAAAACACACAGAAGGCAGCCCACTTATCAGCGTTATATTGTCTCAGATTCGTTGATGGTGTTTTTTGTAAGGTGGTAAATTTCAAGAACTCAAAGCAACAATGCTTTGAGGAGTGGAAAAGTAACAATATAGTGAACACGAAAATCTTTATCACTACATTTGATAAAATTAATGAAGTTTACCTCCGCATTGCGATCGAAAACCTGAGGAAATTCAGGCAATGTTAAGCGATATCACCCTGGGATAATCAATGCGTAACGCACATTGCAAGAAAAAATCGGAACCTAAACCATCTGACTGTGGGACCATAACTATTACTTTTTGTCAAAACTATTCTGTTAGAAGTAGACTACCTCCGACCCATACGATGCCAGCCGTATTTCTTCGAAATTTCAAAAAATAATCAATTTTCGCCGAAATGTATCTTTGCTTCAAACAGCGTTTTCGGCCAAGTTTCAGAATTTTCAAAAAATATTTCCGCGCCCTGCACCCTCGAATATGTATTTAATATCAAAAGCAGTCTATTAGAAGTCAACTACCTTAAGTTTTTACGACGATAGAAATATTCCTTCAAACTTTAAAAAATCATCAATTATTTCAAAAAGTACCAGACTAGGTCAACGGTTAAAATAAAATTTAAAAACTTACTAGTCAGAGAAAATTCGAAACTATCCCTATTTAAAATATCAGTCAACTTGCTGAAATGTCTCCCATTTGCGCCTAAACAGCGTTTTCCACTACAAGCACATTGGCAACTCTTAGTTTAAGTTCTTAAATGTGTCTATGTAACCAATCAATTCAAACCTATGTTTGGTGAAATATCTGCAAGGTATTATATTTCTTTTTTTATATTCTAGGAAACCTTTCCAAGCAAATGATAATGAAGAGTTATCCATACGAAATGCAGGAGCTTTTTGGAAGTGGAGAAAGCATACTTGCCCTAAACTCTTGGGTTTTCAACGAAGTGAATGAGACCCTAAATATCGCAGAATTCAACAGCTCTGGGAAACAGTTGAGAGAAAGTCTCAATCAAAGTAAAGTCTTCCTATTTTTACATCTGTTAGCCACAGATACCTCTGGGCACTCAGATAAACCACAATCACAGTGAGTTTTGTCGTTGATTTTCCCCTTGCTTGTTGTGTTGATTTATTCCATAAACTTTTTTCAAACAGAAGCTTCATTTGCAAAGTATCGAGCATACAATGGTCATAATCAAACCCAAAAACTATTTTTCAACTCGCTGCTTCCAAAAGTAATGTCTACCTCTGGTAGCAGCGCTGACAGTTGACTGAAAAAGGAAACAATTTATTAATGAACAGAAGTATCTAAGGCTCAAACTAATTGTGAATTTGAAAAGTAATTTAAAAATTTAAGGACATTTTATTACTTGTAGTGCCATACAGTATCTATTCAAACAAGGTAAGTTAAGAACAAAGTAATTTTGGGTTAGCTATAATTAAAAGACTTTCAGCGGAGGGAAAAACAACAATCAGGGCAACATGATCAATTCTTGGTGTTATTTCTGATTGCTCACCAATACCCTCAAGAATATTTACCAAAAACTTTTTATTTTTAATCTGCATTATAAATTAGGATTGAGCCGCGTCCTTATTAAGCCAGCCAATGACAATCGTCCCATCAAAATTCAGGCTGAATACCCAGAGTAGATTGCCGAACCAATAACAACAGCAAAAATTATAAACTAGGCTTATTATTAGTAGTTGAAATGATTGTCATCTAAAGGCAGCAGTACTGTGCCATAAATCAAGTGCATTTTTATCTGGCTCTGTCATAGTTAAATCATGGAAAAACAGGAAATATCAGTAGGAAATAGACCTTAATGTATAGATTGCTACGAAAAATGTTTAAGAATCATTAAAAATGCAGTTGCCTTTGGGGCATGACATATGCGAGATCAAAACGCAGGTTTGCATGTGTTTGCATGCCATGCTTTTCTGTTGAGTTCCTTTTCTAATGGTTTTCTTTTATTTTTTTACAATCCTTCAAGAGAGTTTTTCAATGTGCTGAAAGAAACAGATGCAAACATTGAACTAATCATTGAAAGATTAGAGAAATTTTACAATCATGATGGAAAAACAGTTTACGTGTTTACTTCGGATCATGGCATGACTGATTGGGGTTTGTATTGTTTCTCTTTACGCAAGCTCATTCTTTCTGCTTTTTATTACTGTGTTGCAGATTTCTCGCTGTCGAATGATTCACTTGTATCAAGTGTATGCTATACCTCCAATTATCATTATTATTGAGTAATAAACTTGGAATAGATTTCAAAATCATATGAATGGTTGGAAATCATTTTTCTTGAATGGCCAAAAAATTAATAGTATCCATATGGTGTGGATTCTACTTGCTGCAAATAGGATATAAAGTTGAGTCACCAATGACCTTAGCCTGTACCTGTTGGCAAATGAGAGCGCTGAAAATAATAACTCTATATTAGGCTTCCACTTGCAATTTGTTGAAATAACGGAATATATGGGCTCAGCGGATCCTTACTTTGATGCATTATACGCACCCTCTGAAGAATGGCGACGTAAAATGTGCTAATTGAGGGTTTTTGTCATTGATTGGAACTTTTCATTTCAAGGACACGTCATGAATTTCATGTATTTTTCAATTTGGAAGTATACTTTATCCACAACGTCTTTGTCATGATTTTCTCTTACTGCACAATTTGAAAAATAACCTTGCATGTTATTCTTTTATGTCTTTTTATGATCTTTGGTTTCATTTTGGTATTGTGTTGTCATATTTTAGTCTCAATGTCACTTTTATTCATCAGAAATTCACAAGACACGAGATTTTTTCAGAATGTAGTATGAACGCTATCCTATAACCTACTTTTTTCAATTTTAATTATAGTTGATCTTTCCATGTGAGAATGTTCAAAGAGCCGTAGTATTGAACTAGGTATTTTTAGCTCTACTGTAGGACATGATCTATTGGGTTTTTCTTGATCTTTTCAATATCCTTAAAATACTCATACAGTTTATTTAATACATTTTAAATCTTAATTTCTGTTTATAATCAGACCCTCTATTGGATCTGCATGTCTAGTTGATGTTTAGCGGTCATACATTGGTTTATAATTTCCACTAACATTGATCACGCTTAAAATTGATCACTCTGTCATTACGCTAACAATGAGTGTTTATTTCTATAATTTTTTTTTTTTTTTTATAACTTGCCAAAATTTAGTCTGAAGCTGAGTGGATGACCCTGTTTATCATTAAATTAAATAGAACTCCCAATTTCTGTCATAAAAGATTTTTAATGGATGTAAACGGTGTTTCAGGAACTCATGGTGATGGATCAAATATTGAGACGGAGACCCCTTTTGTCATCTGGGGCCCAGGTGTGAAAAAGCCAAAGCTTGTCAATGAAACAGATAAGAATGATCTTTGGAGACTATCTCATTTAATTCGTCGTGATCTGCGGCAAGCGGATGTTGTTCCCCTTTTGGCCACTTTGCTTGGCATTTCAATTCCAGTTCACTCAGTTGTAAGTGTTTGATTATTCTCATACAACACTTTCTCTATCTTTCATCAGTAGTTTTTTTTTATATTTCTTAGAACTTGGGTTTAGGTGTGTTTGTTTTTCCGGTTGCAGGTCACTGACCTACATAGTCCTCTGTAATTTTATGCATGGTTAGTGCAGCCTTGAAAAGTGCTGTAAAGAAACTTGATTTCGAAAGAAGAATTAAGGCTTTGAAAATACTTGATTTTTTGGTAACAAATCATTTGGTGCCCAATAGGTGGTTTGGAAGATTACGATTAACAAAGGAAATACCCTCTTAAAGAACTAAAAGTTGCCGACTTGACCTCTAGTCCTCGCAACCGTAGAGACAGGGTTGCCATAGTTAGGGGAAATGACAAAAATGTTAAGGAAAAAGTATTAAGTCTCCTTTATTTGCTCTCTAGAATAGGTTTGACATTTTGAACAACAGATTTTGCAAAACTATTTCAAAGTATGTCTTCTTAACCATCTGGCATATCTTCAAGTGTCACAAAATTTTACCAAAATGTGTGAGGAAAATTCATTTTCAAAGTTCTATGGCAACCTCGTGTTATCTAATTTGTAAAAAAAGATCTTTCAGCTGCTGAGTTTTAGAAATTCTGCTGGCTTGACTTGCTATGGCCTCAAGGCCTTAAGATTACTGCATCAGGGTGAAGAAAAATTGTCTGCAATGGGCCTGTTGCAAACTTTTGCTAGAGCAAAAATAAGAGTTGTTTCTTGTAGATAATGCCTCAAAAATCACGATGAGCGCATCGGCAAAGTCTGAAATGCACTCATAACTTCACAATCTGCGTAAGAAATTTGCGATTTTTTAAGCTTCCCGCTTCAAAAACGATACTACGGCATAGGTGAACATTTTGTTAGAGGAGTCGCTCCATCGTCGGCGATATTCATCATGACCGACGCTTGCGCGCAGTTCCGCGCGTAGTTCGAGGAGAGTTCAAGGTCAATAAATTCGGGCGTGGAAAATATGAACGTTAACACACCGATTGTTATCTGGTCTAATCCAGTTCAGGTGTTATCTCGTCCCATCAAACGTGTTTTGGCGGATTGGCGTCGGCCATGATGATTATTGCCGACGATGGAACGACTCCTCTTACAAAATGTTCACCTGTGCCGTAGTATCGTTTTTGAAGCAGGAAGCTCAAAAAACCGCAAATTTCTTACACAGACTGTGAAGTTATGAGTGCATTACAGACTTTGCCGATGCGCTCATCGTGATTTTTAAGGCATTATCTATAAGAAACAACTCTTATTTTTGCTCTAGCAAAAGTTTGCAACAGGCCCATTATATTACAACTAATTACAATGATACTTTCTCCTTCATTGATAAAAAAACCATTGATCATTGAAAATATTCAAGGCAAGCAATTAATGATGCATAAATTAAAGATGATTTTATTTTAATGCATTTATGAACGTCCAATGATTCTAAGGTTTTTTACGGTTCTGATTTAGTAAATAAATTTGGAAAATGTCTTCTTTTTGATAAAGCTGCCAAAAGATATATGTATCATGAATACACTGTTTCTCTGTAAAATTTTGTAAGCAGAAAATTTATTTCATCCTCCTATCCAACGATTCTTAGAAAATGAGTAAATCCCTCATTGTAGACTAATTGAAAATACAAATTTTGCCGAAAACTAATGGAAAATTTGGTCTGAAAATTGAATTTTTTTCTCTCACAGGGTGTGCTTCCAATGGATTTTTTGGATGTCTCTGATGGAGAAAAAGCCAAGATGCTGGAATTAAACATGAAACAAATCAATCAGCAGTTCTTGAAAAGCCGTGACTCAGTCAAACTATCATCTACATCATTCTTTTACATACCGTTCAAGGATCTGACTGATGAGCTAGATGCAGAGATGAAGAACGCTATCAAAAACCACATCATCAACCATCAATATCATGAGGCAGTGAGTTAGAGCTAATTTGTTTTTCTCCGCTCCCTTTTGTCTTATTTCACGACTCGTAAAAAAGGTGGAAGATAAGTGACCAATTTTGATAGAGGTATGAAAAACGTCTCTCAAGACTTGTTTTTTCAAGAATAAACTCATGGCAATCTTTATTGCTTTAATTTATATCTGAGAGGTGCAGTAAGAAACCAAACCCATGAAAAAATTTCAATTCTAATTCTTTTTGGGAATGTTTTGAGTTCGGTTTAACTTCCGCTTGTTTGGTAGAAAGACTACCAAGATTTATTAAGGCTCAACTTGAATCACATACCCTATTAGTACATAAACTATTAGTACAAAAAACCTTCTGTTAAATTCTAGGCAGCTATTATAAAAAACAGACTCATCTGCTTAAACGATTTTGAATGTGAATATTCAAAAAAACTACAATTAATTCGTGTTTTAAACTGAATTCACTCAGTCAGACTTTCTTTAGGATGCAATTGACGAATGCATATGATGTGAAAACGTAGAAATTTCTGCTCAATTGTTCGCTCCTCATCTTTTTAGGATAAAATCTACAAGTGTACTTTTTGTCTGTGAAAACTAGTTGTATCATTTATTTGGCTGATTTTCCATCTGTAGGTACCATTGTCTTGAAAGGAAAAATCAATAAATTTTTCAGGACCAAAAGTGTTTCTTAAAAAGAAAGTTAAGTATCAAAGACCCACTGTGGAGTGCGCCCAAATCTTGATTGAAATTTCCTCGCTTCTTCTGGTGAAAGCTTGCTCCTTTTTATTTGATTTTTAAAGTCTCCCTGAAAGCTGTATGAAACAAATGTTGTAAATCTTTTCAGGCCTTTTCGTCAAATTTTGCCTTACCGATTTCTGACCTGTATAATATGAAGTTTACTTTATTCAACCTAATATCCCGGGAAGTATAATACATTAGTACTTTGTGTCTTCTCTTTAGATTTCTCTGAGTCAGAAATTGATACATCTCAATTTAGCCGCCATCAATTACTACCAAAATTACTACCAGTATTTACTCTTGGGTTGCATATCCGTATCATATTTTGGTTGGATTTTTGTCTTGCTAACGGTTCTTTGCAAGAATCTACAGCTGAAGCCAGGTATGAATTAATTTAGTCTGTAATTTCAAATCAAGTTACAAGTCATCTTTCGTTTTGTTGATTTGCCAGAAATCTAGCAGTCTAAACATCATTTAACCCTAGCTTTTTCACTGCACTAGATATCAGCTTAATGAATATTTCTCTTATTAGAGTGTTCTCTCCCAATCATTATTTCCCAGTAGTTGCTCTGCATCCTTAGAGAGTCTATTTGCAGCAGCAAAGAGGGGAGGGGGGCTCAAAAATGAACATTTTAAAGCCAGCAGGCTCATCCAAAGAAAATTACTTGCTGATCGGAGAAAAATCATGGAAATCGACCCTGTAGATCTATTAAAGTAGCTCAGTCAAGATATGAAAATGTAAGTAGTAAAGCGAGTTTTGTGGCGATCAGGAGTCGCAAAGTGCCAGAGAGCCTATAAAAGCGATTCGTTTATGTAGGTAGTAAGAAAGCATATAGTAATGATTGTAGTTAGCGTATTGGCTACTGCAAACTAACCAGATAGCTGGCAAAGAATGCTTCTAGAAGTATATTCAGTCAAAAAGATAACAAGTAACTGAGGCTGTAGTGTCAAAAAAACTTATCTGAACCAATTTCTCTTCTGTTTTTTCTCAATTTTTTCTTTTGTTCTTAAAAAGAAATAAATGGACGTTATTGTTTTAAACTTTTATAATATGAATGAAAATCAGTACAAATTTCCAAAAAGAATGTTGATTAGTTTTCCTATGGAAGAAAGGGAGTCGACAAACAAATCTGCAATGTTATAATTAAAGCAAGTGTTTTTTTACTCTTACCATGGACGGATGATTTTTCAAAAAGCCGTGTCTGTAATCCTACTGATTATACTATCCAACACATTTTGATAATCTTCCATTTTATATGCACCTACGAGGCTTCAAATGTATTTCAGACTGTGAGAAACAAATCAAATGGAAGCAGTGAAAAGATTTTTTTTTTCTCCAGGTGGACCAAAATCAGCCAAACTCTCCTTTCTCACAATGCTGTCAAGGCTCTCACCATATGCCTTTACCGTGTGGTTTGTGATAACCATCAGCTTTATTATAGGTAATAATCAGTCAATGATATACCTTTCTTATTTTGAGTTCTTTTTTATTTTATATTAATGCATCACCTAAATTACAAAAACTGAAGAAGCAAACTAATAATTATTTTTCAAGTTCTGAATTTCTCTTCGTGTTTATAACCTCATGCAGACAATGTTTTGCTATTTTTTACCCCTAAGCTGCAGAACTTTTAGCTCCTCATGTTAGAAAATGATAGAGTGATATATTATCAAAATAAGATGGAAATTGCGGTCACACAAAAATTGGGCACTACGCTACTTCCCCAACGTAACATATCTTATCCCTACAACTCAAATGTATGCAGTACCTTTTGTGTGTACCGTACCTTTTCTGCGGAGAAATAACGCATGATTTTAAGGGATCCTCCAAAACATATATTTTCTTGATTATAAAGGACATATTTTAAAGATTTTTTTAGCAGAATGTTGCCCATTTTTCTTGTAAAATTATGCATGCTATTATACATTTAAGCTAGTTTTGGATAATACAGTCAAATAAAAAGATGCATCTAAACTGACTCATATATGTGGAAACAATGTTGCAGTGCAAAGCTTACCCATTCAGTTTTATATTTACGGTCTCCTACCTGTATTCCTGTGGTGGTTTGCATTCAAACACAATGCATTGAATGTTTTTGAGGGATTTGCACAAACTTGTTATGAATGTTGGTATCTACCAATTGCTTATGCCGTTGGAGTGGAGTTTTTCGTAAGTATTTTTTAAACTTTTCTAGTCTGCAAAGTCTAAATCGCAAGTATTTCAAAAAGCAGTGGAAAGGGAATTGTATCAGGATTCACATCATTCCTAGTATTAGCCCCTCTTTTTCAAACTTTTCTCACCTTTTTTTTTTGCCTCAAGGAGGATTTTTGAGAATTATTACACCTAACCTAATGTGGATACAGGACAATTATCTAAATTGCAGAAATTGCTTCAAATTTGATTCTTTTTGTTTATTTCAAGCTTATGTCCTGTAATTTATGCATTTTATTTTCAGGTGCTAACTTTTTTCCAGCGATGGGCAATCAGCGCAGTCACGCTAGCTTTAGTGTTTTGGCCATGGTTTCATCTCCCAACTCTAAGGCGGCAAAAATGTCAGTTTCTTGTTTACATGTGGACTTGCTCGACTCTGGGAATAGCTATTTTTCCGTTTTTACCAGTCACCGGTTTCGAAGCTAATATATTTTTTGTGTAAGCATTTAATTTCTCTCTTATTCCTCTGTAATATTTTATTATCACAGCATTTCTACTTAATTAAAAAACTATGCATTTTTACTAGAAACCAGGGGATAAGTGTAGCAAGTAATTTTTATAAAAATTGCAATAACTTTTTGCTTACCTTACCGAAAAGCTGGTGGAGGGTGAGTCACCCTGTTTTGCAATTTAACTGCCTTTAATTGTTGTTACGTCAAGCAATTTATAGTTACTTAATTTTGTTTCAGGGTAATATCTGGGTTGTTATCTATTGTTTTCAACGTTAGTATACTCTTACTGCCAGTGCTGAACCACTGTTTCATTTTGAAACCCGAAGAAGGTAGTAGTGGCTGCTATCTTTCATTGGGCACCATCCGGCACATTTGGGCACTTCTGGCATCATTCTTAGTTTGTGTAGCGATGTATTTCAATCTGTCAGTGAAGTATTGTCAGATTGTATCCTGGATCCTGTTAGGTAAGAACACAATGCTGATACTCAATATTTACATGAAATCTCACATGCAACATCAAGCATGCTGCTGTGCTAAGGAAAAACGCTGTAAGAACATTCGAAGGTTGCTAGATTTCTCGTGATAAAATATTTATTTTGGAGAAAATTTATGAGTATCATTCCTTGAAATTTTCAGATACTTTAAATTAAATTTCTGATGAAAACATTGCAAAAAAAACCAGTTAACATGTTCAAAATCTGTCGCTGTACATGCTTTCATAATTTTCCGCTCTGGCCATGCTGAACTTTATCGCCAAAAATAGCTATTTTGTTGTGGAAGTTGCAGCTGAAACGATACATTCCTTTTTCTGATGATTGGACATCGAAAATCTGTAGTGGATGCTTTTTATGTCCATTAAGTACCGTATTTTTTTAACGCTGCTGAAAAGCGTGACTGCAAAATTCATAGCCTTTCTTCAAAACAAGTCACAACTTTGTCCTTCTATTTTGTGTAAATATTGGAATATATTATCTTTCAAACTTGTTTCTCATTCATAGGAAACGCCATTATTATTCCTGTCAACATGATGAAAGGAGATGTGTCCCTCCGTTTGGTTGGGTTGTTCCTTTCAATGACCTCCCCCATGTTACTTCTGTCGATAGGACATGAGTCGCTCTTTTATTTTCTATTTTCGGCTCATCTGCTTATTTGGTTCGCACTTGAATATCAGGTATGTTTTCAGGCATTTCATATTTCTCCATATGCATATCAATATTGAAACTAGGGAGATGCATATCTTGATTATGGCGTTAAAAAAATTATGTTCTTCCTTAATTTTTTTAGAATGTTGCTGGACACTTTTTTCAAAATTCTCAGTGATGTTCTCAAGTTTGCTTTGAGTAAGCTTTCTTCAAAGGAGGGGTGGCGATTTGGGCCATTTCCGGCCCCACCTAATCCGGGACTTTTTTTGCTGTGAGTCGTTACGTATAAGTGTCAAGAGAAAGCATGCCAAGTTTCAGGCCGATCGGCCCAATATTAAGCGCAAAATCGGTTTTAATTTTGTAGCGCCGTCAATTTCGCTCGTATACAGATGAAAATTGGGTGTCAGGGGTAAAATTTTGCGTTCTTTCCATTTCCGCCGTCAAAATTGACACTGGGGCAAAATTAAGGGGGATTTTGGGGGGTTTTTCGCGTTTTTTCGCGTTTTTTACCAATTTTCTGCGGTTTTCATGCTTTAAGCCAGAGATTTTGAGCCAAACGACCACAGATTTGATTTCTACGCAAAAAATTACTGAGGAACATAATGACCAACTAACACTCAACAGCGGATTTCTCTAGGAAAAACTGACCCATAAGTATGTGTTCACTCAGAAATTTTGAAAATAGCCATGTTTCGGGTACAGCCCAAGCTTGTAGCACTACCATATTCACATATGATACGCTCTAGGTCGACCCTGTTGATAT